AGTGTCATTAAATTTTGTGATGTATTAATGTCACAATGTGTTCTTGATGCATAGGTGTCACTATTTTAGACGATAAATTGGTGTCATTATTTGCTGACACAAAACCGTCCCCGCATCAGTGACACTATATTTAGTGTCGCTAGCCGCCACTTTCCACGACACTTTTTAAGTGTCGCAGAAAGTTTCAGTGACACTAAATTAGTGTCACTATAGGACCTTTTTCTACTAGTGTTTCTTGGATCGAGGATCAGCGTCCGGAGTATGTCCAAACTTAGTTGCGGACCAAGGAAGGTTGCAATTGGCGCGAAAAGGAGGCCTTGTTCCCATTTAGATGTGGTCGGCATGATACGCAGACTAGCCGTGATGAGGCGGAGAAGATGGGCAATGATGATCTCGGAGTTGTTATCCGTGATTGATTTATCGCTTGAGCTCGTATGCACCGTTCATTCTTTCAATTTACTTAGTCTTTTTCCATTCAAGAATACTTGGAGAACTAATCGGGGATCTGGCTCCCCACCTAGGCCGTGAGGGGCGGAAGGTTGGCAGGGCCGACCTTGACTGCACCCTGCTTGGTAAGGCGGGGCTAACCCGCACACTATCGATCTAGGACCGATGAGTGTGCAAGCTGTTCGGCCAACGGTCAGACAACGGAAGTACGGGAGGGGCTCGGGGCACGACCTGTCGTATACCTTCAACCCAAAGGCCGGTCTTACACCTTGACTTGTACATCTAGTTTCATAATTAGGAAAAGTTTGGTTATCCCTTTCTGAAAGTCAAACTGAAGTCGACCAATCGTAAGGGCAAGGCCCGACATGATCAGACCAGAACGGACCCGCATCGCTGACCATATCAAATGAGTATGCGGGCTGTTAAGCCTAGCAACGTCAGACAAAGGATGTACAAGAGGGGCTCGGAGCACGACCTCTCGCATACCTTCGGCCCGAGGACCGGTCATATAGTCACCGCACCGATGATTAGGTCAAACGAGTATGTGAGCTGTTTAGACAGCAACGTCGGACAACGGATGTACGGGAGGGGCTCGGAGCACTACCTCTCGCATACCTTTTCAACCTGGAGGCCGGTCTTACGGTCGCCCTGACCGAACAGCTAATCTCGGGCTTAGAAACTAGTTTGGTAATTTCCTGGCCCGAGGATTGAGCCGTGGTCGACTAAACACCGAGAGCGGGGCGTCATAGTTTTTTTTGCCGCCGCCCATTCATTTCCAAGTGAGGTCGGACCTCATTAAATTCTAGACTGGAAAACAACTTTTTTTAAAGTAATGAAAGAATTGGAGAACTTGAGGAGTTGCTTCGAGTTCTAGACTTTATCTGTAATTTGTGATGATCCGCTCACAGAATGTCGAAGAGTTATTCTGCGCTCCGCACTTGACCTACTAGCTTGTGATTCTCCGCTCTTAGGAATTGATCGACAGGGTGCCCTACGCTCCGCACTTGTTCTACAAGCTTGCCTGTCGTGGTCTTTGACCTCTTGTTTCGGTCTCTCAGAGTTGTCCTGGATAACGCTGCTTCCTAGTCTTCATGAAACAGCTCCGTGTTGCAAGGTGTGTACCCCTTCATCAACAGTGCACCTGAGGCAAGGTGGAGATGGCCTTTGGAGATGGCGATATGCGTAGGGGTCCGTCCAACCTCGATGACGTGATGAGTTTTCCCCTCAGTGTAGGATTGTCTTAGAAGCCATGAACTTCCCTTGGATAAAGTAGGACGAACTTGAGTTGATTTATGGTCGGCCTATCTGCGCGAGTTTGGGCAACATGATTTTCGTCATTATCATCTCGGATTTGCGTGCTACAACGTGGTTATGCAACAAGTCTCCCTACGGAGACTGTACGTCCACTTCGTCGAATCAAGCTTGTGCAACCGAGTCTCCGGGCGATGAATGTGTTCATGTCTCGTCAAACCAGGCCCGTGCAACCAAGCCTCTTGGTGGTGACCGCATGCTCACATCGCCGGGTTGGGCTTGTACGACCACGCATCCTGGTGATGACCGTGTGGCCGTCTCACCATGGCGGGTTCGTGCAACCAAACTTCCAGGCCGTGACATTCCGTCTACCTCGCCAGTTTGAGCTCGTGCAGGGGTACCTGATGTGCCAATCATGGTTGCGGGTGCTCTACGAAGCCTCTTGGTGGTGGCCGAATGCTCACGTCGCCGGGTTGGGCGTGTACGACCACGCATCCTGGTGACGGCCGTGCGGTCGTCTCACCATGGCGGGTTCATGCAACCAAACTTCCGGGCCGTGACATTCCGTCCACCTCGCCATTTTGAGCTCGTGTAGGGGTACCTGATCTGCCGGTTGTCGCTGCGGGTGCTCTACGAAGCCTCTTGGTGGTGGATGAATGCTCACGTCGCCGGGTTGGGCGTGTACGACCACGCATCCTGGTGACGACCATGCAGCCATCTCGTCATAGCGGGTTCGTGCAACCAAACTTCCGGGCCGTGACCTTCCATCCACCTCGCTAGTTTGAGCTCGTGTAGGGGTACCCGATCTGCCGGTTGCCGCTGCGGGTATTCTACGAATCCTCTTGGTGGTGGCCAAATGCTCACGTCGCCGGGTTGGGCTTGTACGACCACGCATCCAGGCGACGACCGTGCGGCCGTCTCGCCATGGCGGGGTCGTGCAACCAAACTTCCAGGCATGACATTCCATCCACCTCGCCAGGTTGAGCTCGTGTAGGGGTACCTGATCTGCTTCGGGTGTTCGGTAGGTTGAAGGCATTCACAGATAGGGTGAGCATCGTGATGTCTTTCACCTTTGGACTGTGTTGGGCGCATAGGGGCACACGGGCGCAGAGCCTACGGGCGTACACGGTGATAGCTGCAACGTGATTGTGACTTGTCGGCGCCGATGAGTAGCCTGCAATTTTGGAAAATTTTAATAAAAGTTTTCTTTAATTTGTGATGTATGATGATTGTCCTTTGCTCGGGCGAAAATCATAGTAGTGCTTTGATTCCGTCTGTGGTGAAATTTTGACTAGATCAAAATTAGGAGGATTGCTCAGATGAAAAACGCCAAAGGCCTTCGGTGAGAAGCCCTTCGTCCAAACCTATCTCTGTTGCGTTGAAGTTCTCTATCCAATTCGAAGTTGTCTTCTCCAGGAACAAGGGCTTGCTCTGTTCTGGAATAGGCGTGCGGCTGGAAAGCCCCGGCTGGACAGAGAGCAAGGCCGCAGATGACCTCCCTGGGCTCGAAGCTCTCCTGTTTCCTTCAGTCATCGATGTTGCCAGACGGGAAAGGAGAGGAGCTTTGACTCCGCGATAGAGCAACGTCCTCAGGTGGGAATGACCGGCAGATCCCATGGCGACCGTTGCACTGATGGAGTAACATGAACCTGCGTCTGGCCTCGATCCTGCTGCCCTCGCATGTGTGTCACTGGTATGTGGAGAAGACGCTAGATTTGCAAGTCGAGTAGAATGAATTGGGGCCAGAACACTAGACTACTAGTTGGAGGTCGTCAGGTAGTTACCCTTGTCTGAGCGCGAGTTCGGTGGGGAAGATTCCCAGATCGTGGAACTGCCGGAGAAACGCACTACGAACAGAGGGGCGAGCTCGCCATTAATGGCGACCAGAAGCTTTGACCAGTAGCTCATCCTGGAGCGACCGTCTCGACGGCGGAGTGACCAGAAGCGAGGGGAGCGACACCGTAACAGACTGACGGAGATTGCTGGGAAGTGACCTGCTGGCTTGTGAGGTGCTCTGCGAGACGCGTCTGAGGCGGAGGAGCTTAATCCCCGAAATCTGGGTTGCATCGTCTCTCTCCTTCCTTGACCTTTGGTCGGATGGGATATGATGTGAAGACTCCACTAATTTTCAATTCCAGAAGATATGATCTTTTGCAAAACCCTCATCCTCGATCATTTTGGCTGAATTCTGAAGTTGTAACGAACTTTTTAATAATTTTTCTAGCTATTTTACTTGATTTTGCCAGTTTCTCTTAACCTTCTACCGGAAAAAAGAGAGAAGACTCTCAATGAAAGCACCAATGTTGGTAGAAAATAACCCGGGTAGAGAATTCAGCAGCATTTCAGTGTAGTAAAAATAAATTGGGTGAATACAAGGGGTTAGAGGCCTATTTATAGGCGTATACAACAAGTCCAATCATAAAAGACTACATGGGCTTGGCCCGATTTATTAACCAATACTGACGCTAATGGGCCAGCTAGCCCGGTAAGTAATTAAATAATCCCAGACCAATATTCGTTAGCCGGACTGTGTTCTGAGCTTGGTCAGACCAAAGCTCGGGTGTAACAGGCCGATAGTCTTGGACCCGACCCATTATCCCAAAAGGCCAAAATAAGTAGATATATAATATATTGGAGAATAAGAGAATTTGAGAAGATGAATATCAAGATAATAATTAGAGTAGAGTGTAGGATTTAGGAAGAGATGGAAAAATGTTTAAGATTATGAGTATTTATAGTTTTTTTTACCCCACCCCCACCCCCCAAACCGCCCAGACCCCCTACCAGAGTGCCAGCCCACCCAACGGCTATATAGCCATTTGGGTAGTCCCGAGCCCACCCCCAACGACTCTTTGTGGCCCAAAAATCCAAACATTTTTTTTAAAATATGGCCGTTAGACCCGAACCCGGGCCCGACCCGGCCGGGTCACGATTAGCCTGAACCGAGCCCACCCCACCCTTTCCCTCCCGGTTCAGGTTTACACCCGGTCCCGGATCACCAGACCGGGCCGATCCCGGGCCCGCACAATAGCAAGCCGGGCCGGGTCACAGGCCGGGTTGCCCAAACCGAATCCACCCTTAAGTCCGATTCGAGACAAAAAATTTGAAATCCATTATAATGAATTGTAATTACAAAATCGAAAAACAACGTCCCGTAGAATCATTGATGTCAAAATTATACTGGTCAACGTCCTATCAACAAATCCAATGGAGCTGATACCTCCTTCCCCGTAGTAGATGCACCCCCGATTATGACATAATGTGTTTTGATCTTTTTTTTATTAATGAGCCTACGAATGTTCCTTGAGGTCATCCCCGATTGCTTTATTCCATCATATTCCCATGTCATGCAAATCCTCAAATGCACATTATTCTCAAAATCAACATGGCTACTATAATAATGGTTTCTTTTTAGTTCATTACATTACCTATATGATATGACTTTTACTCCAACATAAAGATTGAAAGTTGACAACCATACAGAATGTGTGTTCAAGCATATTCCCAAGCACTCTAACATCTCTACGTAAAATTAAGTCAGGGAAAATATAAGCATAAACGAGAGCTGGAAACTACGGACAGCTCACATAAGCCAAGCCCTATGTTGTTCCACTCAATACTTGCCCTAGTCTTTTGATGTGATGACCAACAACCCCAGGGCACCTATCAAAATATACTGCAAGCAAAATAAAACATAATCAGTTAATCCATAGAGATCCACTATTTTGGCACTTGACATAAAGACTAAAGAGAGTGGGGTGACTGGTGAGATGAGGTAAAGTAAAGAAAAAATGAAAAGGATCTTGGTTATCCATAGCAACTCCACTGTGGAGTACTGGAGTTACTACTACAGGGATGGATGATCTAGATCGGTTTGGAGAAACTTTTCCAGATTTCCAAGTCAATACCTTGATAATAGGCTTCTCAGTCATTATTATTGTAACCCAGCCCACATAAGGCAAAAACCTGAAAAAAAATAGAGCAGCAAATTGTGTCATACTAAGAACACTATCAGATAATACACAATTGGGCCTCCAAAGAGAGAGAATAATGGAAATGCTCAGTGTTCATTTTCCTGCAATGCTTGAAATGAAATTTTAGTTTGTGTGTGTGGGAACTGAATCTGTCATTGCAGACACTATGATATAGATGCATGAACACTTACCCAACCGCTCTCCCCATGATATGCTGACGCTGTAACCAGAGCTGCCCTTGGGCATATAGAGCTCTATCATCCCCAAAATTGTTATCTCCTGAATTACCATAGGATCATAGAAAAGCAAACTTCAATATTTTTTAAAAAATTAGTTCTCAAACTCCAAAAAGCAATGTTTCAAACGCATTACGGGTGAGCCTTAGGTGGCATGTGGGGCCGACAGGGGGGGGGGCTAATGCGGGCATAGGTGAGGCCAAACAAGAAAAACCAGAGACAGTACATGGAGTCCTAGAGCCTAGAGGTGGGGACTTTTAGAGCACTACAAAAACTGAACCACCTTCTACCGCACAAAAAGGAACGCTTTAAGCAAAAAATAAAAAATCAGAAAAGGCAATTATACAATAAAAGATACACGATATACCAAGTTTACTTGGATAGTTGGATATTCAGATTTTAATAGTGTGCATAGCAAACAGGAAAGGGACTTAACGAGAAATATCTGAATACATACGGATTCCCGGGGAAGGATCTCAATACAAAGTAGAATGCATAAAGAATGTACCTTTTGTTAGTATATCAACTTCTCCAGTATCTTGGCGCTCATGGACCTAGGATGAAACAATTATCATAGTAATAAGCTGAGTCAGTATTGGATAAACTGTACGTCGAGACATTTTCCCATGGTCGCATACTCATAATAGATGCTACATAAAACAAAGCATATACCGCAATCTCATCCCCCAAAATTGAGAGTATATTTTAAAGAGAAGTCTACAATATGTGATATTCCCATGTTCTACCGAGCCATCATGTTCCTATTTCTGAGCACACAACTGATAAAACTGCACCGTAGATTCTAAAACGAATAAACTATACACAACTACTCAAGTGTATATTTATACTGTTGTGTTGAGTGTATGAGAACTTCATCCTAATAAACCTTGTTTTGGTGTTACAGTGTCAAGTGAAAATCCAAACGCCAAATAAATAAAGGCTAAAGGGTCAAATAGGTCCTTGTACCCTTTCGGATTGCTCAATTTGCCCCCTCAACCCAAAAAAACTCCAATTGGCACCCTGAACTCGATAAAAATATTCAAATTTCACTTTTTGCAGGTTTCAATCCGGTCACCGCCACGTCACCCGGTAGGGTGCCAACTGTGCATGTGACGTGGCAACTTAGGGGGGTCAAATAAGCCCCTGAACCCGATCAAATCGTTCAATTTACCCCCTCAACCCTAAAAAATGTCGAAAAAAATTTAAAAGGGTTGAGGGGGTAAATTAACATTTCAGTCGGGTTCAGGGGCTTGTTTGACCCCCTAAGTTGCCATGTCACATGCACAGTTGGCACCCTACCGGGTGATGTGGCGGTGACCGGCTTGTGACCTGCAAAAAGTAAAATTTGAATCTTTTTAGGGAGTTCAGGGTGCCAATTGGAGCTTTTTTGAGTTCAGGGGGCAAATTGAACAATCCGGAAAGGTACAGGGGCCTATTTGACCCTTTAGCCAAAAATAAATAAAATTTGAGAGAAAGGATTACATGTATTTAAAATATAAAACATTTTAGAAAAAACAAAAAATAATAAAAGAAAAGAACTTGTGAGGAGATGATATAAAACAGAAGAAGAAAAGGACACAAAATGTGAAATAAAGATATGGAACTTCTAATGAAAAGATAGAAATAAAGAAAGAAGAAATAGACCGTACATTCAAAGTAAGGAAAGAAAAATATAGAAAGTATGAAAAAACAAAGAAATGAAAAGAAGATGAAAACTGAAAGGAGAAACATAATGAGAAGGAAAAGGAGGTTGCCTTTTATGCGGGGTGTGCATCAATCCCAGGATAACTTGTTATTACTATAGTTTCGGTATACTCTTTAATAAACTGACTGAAAGGGCTTATGTTTCGGTATACTCTTTAATAAACTGACTGAAAGGGCTATATGTTATTATGAATATGAGTTTAATTAAAATAGGCCCTAGCCTTATATGCAAAAAGAAAAATAAGCCGGGAAGCCTTTCTCAGCCTAGGCACAACAAGTGTGCTCTGCGCCTCTGCGCTTTATTTGCGCCCGAGGCTTTTACTGTGCCTGAAGATTATTAAGGCGCTACCCATGTTCAGCGCCTTGTCTGGTGCGCTTCTGACTACACAGCTTCGTAAATTACATGATCAATGATGGTGCATGCTTATTTTCTTATATATGCTATTTCCATAGAAGGAAAGGCATAGTTAGGAAGAACTTCTTGAAAGGATAGTATTGCCAAATACTTGCCTTTATCACTCTGTGGACGATTGGAATTTCACGACCCTGAGCAGCACAAAGAAGTAATGAAGATCATGTTAAATGCTTATATAGAAGAGTAGTCAGTAAACTTTATCATTAACACAAGCTATAAAACATAAATAGCCAGACAGCTGAGACAATTAAAAAAATGTGTACTTCATAGAGTGACAAATAATAAAATAGCATGAGTTTGAAAACTTCCAAATATAAACTAAAAATTTAAACTACATGAGAGATTGATCATACAGATGTAAATCGTTAATATTATTCAACCTCCAAATCAATACCAATCAGCCAAATGCCCAATTATTAAGGGATAAGAATTATCAGAAACATTAAGAAAGAGTAGGATTTTCTACTTCTAGGGGTTTTTATATGAACATTAGAAAGAAAAGAGAGTCCATGCAGAGATTGAATTAAATTGTACAGAGTACTACAGATCACCCAATGAACAAACTCTGAGAATGACTTATTTTTCTCAATGTTTAAAGTGAATCTAGGCAAAGATGAAATACATATCTCTGAAATGAACTTAATAGAAGACGTAGTTTTCATAAGAATGCTCACATCAATATTAAACACAACTATTTCTCCAGTGCGAATAGGATCTTCAGTCATACGCAAGAACAATATGTCACCCTGTAAGATAGAAATGAATTATTTATATCACTACTCAATTACTCATAAAAAGAACATGGATGCCCACATATGAAGCACTAAATATAAATGTATTATGGAAAATGAGTATGTAGACGCTACAGCCCACTCAATGTATCATCATCCAGTGAGGAAAAAACTGCCTTAGCCATTTTCTAGCTCACCCTTTTGAAGCCAGGTTCCATACTTCCGGAGAGAACAACCACCACTGGTGATTCACTGCCAGTTATGCACATTAGCCCTTTCCATATAATCAACGCAGAAGTAACGATCATACCTGAAAGTGATTGACCAAACTCAGAGAACTTGATGAACAATCTTATAAAGACAGGATGAATCATGGAATCTTAACTTTTACACAGATATCATCAAAAGAAACGGATGAACTAATTCAATGCATGATGTACCCCTCAGTACTAATGTACTATTACAAATAACCCAATTTAACACCACCTCTGTACTCAAGCACGCACATGTGTATTAGTGTATACATCCACTTGTGTGTGTATGCTAAACAGGGTAATTGTACCAATGACATTGTTTCAGTATGAACGGCTTTGTAGTTAATCGTTGCCTCAAATCAGATCCCCTCTGAGGAATTCAGAAGTCAAGAAACATGTCCATTACTAGCACATGGTAGAAATTAGCATCACTTTTAACCAACGCACTTAAAATTTCATTACTTTAAGAGCATAGGTTAACTACGACCTTCAACTATGAACTGTCACTCTGTAAGACCGAAAGCCTTATCCGCTCCCTAGAACACATACAACGTTTTCATTGGTTGAGTTCACCATAAGTATCAGATATACTAATGGTAGATAAGTATACTAACAATGAGGCAACACATTTAGTGAATAGACCAATTCTATAGCACAAAAGAAGAGACAAAAGAAATACTTCGTAACGCCTAAGTATAAATAGAACCCAATGAAATAAACAGAGATGGATTCAGGAAAACCGAGCTCAAAAATTAATCATTCTAAACTTGCAGAAATAAATCTGAGGACACCTGAGCAGACACACACACACGAATCAATTCACAATTGTACATGCATATATGCACGGATATCCAAAAGAAATGGGGAGAAGAGGAGGCGAACCGAGAGTAATAGCTTGAGTGAGAAGTTGCCTGAACTGTATAGACTTGATGGAATCGATCTGCTCTCCAATCCACCCCATTCCGAGCTGTTGATTGGAAATAGGAGAAAGGGAAATGAGAAAGGCAATGGGGTGTTTTGGTTGAAGACTCACTCACTGTATTTATTCCGTGATTGCGGACTTGCGGTATATTGACCATTTGACCCAAACAATTTAGAGTCTAGTCCGGTCTTGTCTGAACAAGTTTGGTCTGATCTGATCCGATAAATCTCTGATGTTTGTGTAGTATCTTCATCCCATAAAATTCTTTCTACTTTGACTTGACACGGAGATTAAGAAAGTGGAAATGTATGGTTGTGGTTGTGTAAGAAAAAAGTGAAATGAATGTGAACCATACTAATTGTCCAAAAATGGTAAGTGGGAAGATTTTTTGGGACGGCCCAAAAAGAAAAATGAGAAGAATTTTATGGGACGGAGGGAGTATTTTATAACTATCCAAGTTTTATTTGATCTGACCTGGTCTGATCTGGTCTGGGACTGAAAACAGTCAAAAAGAAAACATCCTTAATTCCAAGGGACAACATTCACTAATTCCAGTGAATAGTAAAAAAATAAACCAACACAGGTACCTCAATTGGTCCGTCGAGTGACGGGAAATTTGAAGGAATGATCAAAGATCAAAACCCGCAACGACCGTGTGGTGGTCCTGACATCTGATGTCATGAGTATAAGGTCTACCATCGTTCGGCTAACTGAGTCTCTATGATTTATAAAATCCAATATGTCCTAACAGGTCGGGGCGTGGGGGGCCTTAAGGTTAGGGATTCAACCTTCTTGGAGAAACTGAATAGTAAAAATAAAAATCTAAATTAAATAAAGATTGTCGCTCAAAATCAAATATTGTTTTCGTTCCGATATGAACATTTCATTGAAAAATGACACATTATTCATACAATAATTAAATAAGTTATTTGAATATATGTTGAGAAATAATCTTGATAGATATTAAATAACAATGTATTGTTTTTTATATTTGATGATAAGTTGTCGTTAAAATGTTCTAATTATTTCCTAACATACGAATGAAAACATTTAACTGAGACGTAAAAAAAACACAAGCGAGAGGGAGTATTAAAAAGCAGTTACCACATGAATAACACTATGTAGTAAATTGTAAAACTCTAGTGGGAGGGAGAAAATATTATGATATAATAAATAATGTCTTACACAACATGAGTTTTTTTATATATACAATGAACAAACAATAAGTGCCGAGAAAAGTATAATTTAAATTGGATGGGAATCTATAGTTACAAACAATGACGTATTCAGGAAATATTTTCAGTGGAAGCAAATTTTACATTATAAACATGATATTCAAAAATAGGCTATAAATAATGAGCTTTTCATTCAACAAAAACATTAATAGCGAATGAATACTAACCGGACAGTTAACAGAGATGATGTAAATTAGACTTTAATCATATACTAACATATAGTGAATGAGGTTTTGGCCCAGGCACTAACAGAGTCCATATGCATTTTTACACATTAACATCTAATCGCACTTCTCAAAATTCGAACTCATCTTCACTTCAGAATTTAGATAAAATGTAGTTCGGATGATGTTTTATTTAGTTGGGAATTGTTCACTTGTAACAGGGTGAAAATGTATAACTACCAAAAATATATTCCGTATACATTAGCTAAGGGCATTCCGCAAATCATGCTCAAACATTACAACCATAAACCTTACATTAGTCTTACACATAGACACCTTTCCTCTTCTACACTCATAACAACCCGAAGATCATCTCACTCCCTCATCAGACATATAATAGCTTACCAAAACTGAGTGATTGTATTGCTCACATGTGAGTGGAATAGTAAGATTATTAGTCATGAACCATTAATGAGTGGAATAGTAAGATTATTCCTTAGGTTATGAGGAACTAATTAAAAAACTCAAAAGGTTCCAACCATCAATGAAAATTGAACAAAATCAATAAGACAATTAAATAAAAAACATAAAAATCATAAAGTTTTTATTACAGAGTAAAACCTATAAGATTTTAAAGAAACACAAAATTAATATTTAATTTAATACTATACATATTATACAACCAAAATTTTTACCCGGTCATTCCTTGTAATTCGGTGAAGTGGATAAAGAAGAAGTATGGTGGGGTGTTTATGTAACACCCCGACCCCCTAGGGCACGAGGTAGTTACTCATACACACCCTCCAGACCTCTAGCAATGTCCTCACAAACCTCCACTAGCCTTTAACGTGCACTTTGTCCTCACTCGTGCGCACCCTGAGAAACTTCCCAGGGGGTCACCCATCCCAAGACTACTCCCGAGCAAACACGCTTAACTTTGGAGTTCTTAGCTGATGAGCTCCCTTAAAAGGAGATGCACCTCTGTTGGTACGAGTAGTACTATTAATCCTCTTAAGTTAATCTCGGGTATTACAAACAACCCCACTTAGGATCATAACTTCCTCGTTGCGCCCTTAAACCAATCTCAATCAAACCCCAGAATCTTACCCCGCTAAGTGCCCATCTGATATCCAACGGGTCAGCACACTGTCGCAGGGTTGCTCAGATACCACCTGTGACACCCTGACCCCGTAGGGGCTGAGGTAGTTACTCATACACACCCTCCAGACATCTAGTACTATCCTCACAAACCTCCACTAGCCTTTAACGCACACTTTGTCCTCACTAGCCTTAACCCATCCCAAGACTACTCCCGAGCAAGCACGCTTAACTTTAGAGTTCTTAGCTGATGAGCTCCCTTAAAAGGAGATACACCTATGTTGGTATGAGTAGTACTATTATCCTCTTAAATTAATTTCGGGTATTACAGTTTATCCGTCCTAAGATAATAAGAATTGCTTTTAGTTGTAGTGTCTACTTGATTTGGAGGACAATAAATTCTACAAACTTTGACACTATCACATCTATGGTCGATGAAGTTCTCTCTAAAATCAAATTATTGATATAACAGATTTGTATACGATGAAGTTCTCTTTAAAATCAAATTATTGATATACCAGATTTTTTATTGATATACTAGATTTGTATAAAATGTACTCTTTTGATATGGTTACATTTTTTTCCCATCACCATTTTACTTTTGGTAGATTGGTGACATTTGTTTTTGTTATGACGATATAATGTGGTTAATTTTCTCGCTAGAGAATGCTATTTCAGACTTAAATTTCGTGAGTATATTTATATCACATGTTAATGTTAAACCTGTTTCAACAATCTAACAACAGAATAGAACAGAATAGATAAGAACAATAGCTCCGATTCATTGATAGAATGATGTAGAATTTCAACACATGAAATGATTGGTCGCTACTCTCTCTCTCTCTATTTAGAGAGAGAACAGCGTAGAATTGCTACTCTATTTTGCGGCTGCCTCTATTGACTTAACGGTTTCTTCCTATTCCTCCAGACTTTATAGATCTGAGGAATATGCCCATTACAAAATAGGCATCTAAGAGACATATGGGCCTTAATCATAATGTGTACCATTGTCTATTAATTAGACTAAGTACAACACAAATACACAATAATAAAACATGATATAACACCACAAAAATATCTCTAACAATCTCCCCCTGGGTGTTTAATCTTGTTTACTCAGCATTGCATCGCGGGTATCTTTGTCTTTGTGTTGAATCTTCAGTGCAACTCAGCTTCCTTTGTTTTCTTGGAAAGACTTTTTTGAAGAAATCCTGACAATCCCCCTGGTGTTATTCTTTCAATTTAATCTTTCATGTCAGGGGTTGAGGGATTCTTCAAAATCTTACTAGTAATCTTTGTCTTCCAGAAGTTACTCTTGATCAGCTTGAATGAAGTCATATGGCACCTCTAAAATGAATATTCTTGAAGAGTTTCAAGCTCACACATGATTCATCTTGGGTAGTTGATCATCCGACATCTGTATCCTCCATAATGTAGCCTTTTCTGACTATTCAATCGTGAATGCTTTTGAGGAACAATTGTCGGTGGCACATCGGAAAATGATGGTTGACTTGTGAGCATCTCTGACCATTAGATTTGAAGCTGACTTGGCAGTTGATGAACCTGAGAGAGTAGAGCCTTCATTTTTAAGCTGGAGGAGAGAAGTGTTCGAGAATGATTTTTGAGAGTAAACATCATGTGGACCACTCTCCCCCTCATGACGATTCGATGAATTGAGACGTCATGCCTTTATTCTGTTATTAGGAAAATAAAACAAAATAAAAGATGATATGATAAGGACCGGAGACACCTGGTGTTCCGTTAACACAACATCAATATAAACATTGATGTGTGGCATGTATATAATGATAGAAGCATTATAGCTTTCTACAGGACTTCTAACCAATCATTGTGAAGCATCTGAAGTAGATGTCACTCTGATTGTTATGGCATAATCAGAAGGATTAACAAAGATAATGTAGCCCCCGGGGTCATGTAGACGCCCGTTATCATCACTATAGAGATGAACTCTAAAGTGATGACCTGAATATGTTGGTGATTTCTATGTTACAACATCAGGACTTCCTTCCAATCACTAGTATGCATCTACAGTAGATGAGCCTATGGAAGTTCTCGCGGGTCACGTGGACCAACAACTGACTCTAAAATATGTTTGTGTCCTAGAGAAATTTAAAAATATTTAGGAGTGAGGTAACTAGATGTTGGGTTATTGACCCGGAGGCCCAATACCCGGATCAAACAGGCCCAGGATACCCGGCCCAAACAATGAGTCCACTACCCTATGATGAGTAGATCCAGTGAAGAATTCATACCGAACGGGGTTCTATCCCAGTAAAGGCCGGCCCAGAAAGAAGGTATACCGAACGGAGTTCGGACTATATCATACTTGGGCCAATTTGGCAGCGTCTTCAGCACGGTCCAACATCCCGTTCGAGCAACGGACAACCAGCAAGTGGCCAGGTGCAATTAATGCCAGATTGTGAGTTGTGACATCAGCAAGTGGAAACATGGGTGACCAAGTCAGTGGAACAACGGCCAATCAGCATAGAGCATCACATGCTCTCCATTAGTATAAATAGAAGGTTTAAAATCATTGTAAGGGTTAGCATTTCAATACTCAGGCTCTAGAATAGCATTATTACTCTTGTTTCTTGTATTAAAGCATTATTCCGACCGACCGATCGGGAA